CCGATACCCTGCGACATGTTTTCGCAGCCAAGTTTCGCTCTGAGATGTTTCGACATGTCCCAAAATCAGTTAATTTGGCGCAGACTGGCGAGTGGGGGTTGAGTGAAAAGACAAGCAAATTCTCGCCTTTGACATCCCGATGTAACACCATGTTCTGATGTAAGTAGCTCAGTGCAACAGCCATATCGTCCAATATCTTCACTTTGAGTTGGTAATTGAGTGTTTGTTTCTTCCATATTTTGCTCAAAGAGCCATATTCTGCAAATTCTGTGACAATCGATATCTCACCCTCCGTGTAGACTGCTCCAATTAACTCAACAACAGTGTTACTTCTCAACTGTGTCATCATTGAGACTTCAAGCGAAAACTCTTTCTCTTGTTCTGGTGTCAAGTTTCTGGCTTTCATTTTCTTAATGGCGACATCTCTGCCTCGATACGTCCCACGGAAAACCATACCAAATGCGCCCTCCCCAATTGGTGGCATCACTGGCTTCAATTCAGTATGATCAAGCTTCAGGGACAAATCAGACTCGACGATTATTTTCAACGCAGCCGTTTCTTTGTTTTGTTCGTCGACGTCCATCGCAGTGATACCAATTTGGTCACAAATGGATGTCGTGCAGAGCACTTTCATTTTGAAAGTGATGGCCATAGCATTTCCCGGTCTTAAAGTCGCGTTATTGGGTGTGATGTCCAAATCATATTTGTGCGATGGGGTGTAGTGGAACTCGAAATAATACTCCTTCTTAGTCATATTCGCCAAATTGATAGTCTCTTCATATTCCATATCGACTACAACTTTTGCTTTCGAGCCATCAAAGTTTAATTCCCACTTATCAGTCTTCAATGGGAACTTTTCATTATCTGCGCCTAACAACAACATTTGTAAGTCCGAAGAGACGTGGAATGGTTTGATAGCAGTCGATTCAGCAGCAAGGCTCTTCTTTCTTTTCCACCAAATGATGACAATGATAACAAAGATGACAGCAACGATGAGTAATATACCTATGACGACTAATGGTATAATAAGTGCCCAATTTGTCTTCGAACACGATACTCCTCCCGCGTCAATGGTATATCCATCTTGACAGACATCACATTTATCTTCTTTACACGACTTGCAATTCTTTAATTCACTGCATTTATTACACACACCATCTTTGACATATTCTTGCGATGAAATACACGACGAACACATCACTTTTTCTGACGTTGGAGAGTATTGGCAAGACTCACAGCCTTGTGGACACTCAGTACAATTAAATTGGGTGTTATCGGAAGAGTCAATCCAATACCCCTTTTTACAGACGTCACAGCCCGTTTTTGTGGCAGTACAAGTCATGTCAATAGTCGACTGCTCCCAACAGAGTGGCTTCTTTTCTGATGTAGAATAGTTTTTGGGAAGAAAATACCCATCTGCACATGTGTAACAATGTAAACTATCTTCACAAGTGTCACAAGATTTGTCGCAGAGCGTGCACTCTTGATTCTTTCCAGACTCCGAAATAAATCGTCCGTCCGTGCAATTTGTGCAATACCCCATTTGTGCGCTTCCACAGGTTGTATCATCTTTTAACAAGCAAGTATAATATCCCGTATCTTCACTGTCACTTGTGGAAACCCATCTGAGTAAATAATTGTCAACACATGCAGTACAGTTGGTTGAAAGTTTCTCACACAATTGACAATTTTCAGCACATTGTTCGCATCTTTTGCCGTTTTCTGGTATATAAAAACCACGCATATTTTGTGTGTTTGCACACTCTTTACATCCACTCTGGTCGACCAGTTTACAATTCTCGTCTTTTAAAACGCACACATTCTCATTAAAGTAATAGTTTGTGTTACACGATATACAGTTCGTTGCATTTTCAACGCATTTTGCACATGACCCATCACATTTCTCGCATTTCGCCGTTGAACCAAAGTAATACCCATCACTGCATGTGATACATCCAAAACTCGGCGATCCTGTTTGACAGTTGATATCAGAATATTCATAACACTTTCCGTCTTGTAAAGTATAACCATCTTTACATGTTGAACAAATAGTGGTGTCTGTAGTGGTACTGTAACATAGACTACAGTTGTTTCCACAAGCTTTGCATCCGCCATTGAATAAATAGAAACCGCTTTCACACGATTCGCAGTGATCATCAACAAGATGTTTGCAATTCATAATCGGTGTACAGGAGACAGTACCATCTTTCACAAGTAAATTTCCACTTTCACATTTATAGCAGTTGACTGCTGAAGTACATACAGCACACTTGTCTGTGCACTTCAAACACTTTCGTTGTTCGACATTGAAGTATGTCCCAGCATCACACTTTCCACACTGAACACTGTTAGCGGATAAACTACAATCAACACACTTCGTTTGGTCATTCGAAAGAGTGAGGGAGTCGTCGCAACCAAAGCAATGTGTGGAATTACATTTGTTGCAACTCGTTATCGCCGTTTTGCAATCAGAGCATTGGTTGTCCTTCAAATAAAATCCTTCGTTGCATGCTATACACGCATTTGAGTCTTGTGTGGCACAGTTTGTGATCTTCGTGTCCGTCACGCAAAGCATGTCTGGGACTGGTGAATTGTCTGTATTTCGTATTTCAAGGTGCGCACCCGCGTAGCATTCGAAACAGTGGTTTGGGGTGACGTATTGTTTACAACTTTGTATTTGAGAGTAGACAGTCGTTGAAATCAATAATAAGAGGAGAATCATCAAGTGCTCACTTTTTGGATTCTTAGTCTTGTTTTATATAAGTGCAGTTGATTTTTCTAAAGGTTTCGTTGGAGTATAATATGGTTTTATTATGATTTTTTTATTTATTGACAAATAGTTCTTTTTGTTTTGTTTATGGTGAAATTTCCAAGAAAAAAATAAATAATAACAGATCTTTTATTTTTTAAAAATGTGGGAAAATAACTTACGAAAAATGATTCTAAAAAAAGAAATATTTTTAATATAGTTAATTTCCCGTTTTTTGAACTAATTATGTTAAATAAAAAAAGAAAGATTTTTTCAAGTTTTTTATTTTTGGAGCACAAAAAGTGGATTCTTTATGTTTTTATTTTTTATTTTGAATTAATTACAAAAATATAATTAGTTAATTAAATATAAATATTTTGTATAATAATTATCAACTGGTAAATATAAATATTTTTATAATATAAAAAAATTATATTTTTTTTGGAAAACTCATTATTTCAATCTGGTGGGATGTCATTTACTCATTTTACACAATCTTGGGAATTTACACGCATTTGAATTGCAAAATATAGAAACTTTGCGCATGACTCAGATGCCAGAAGTAGAGGAAGTATATACTTTGGACCAATTCGTCGAGTTGTCGAACAGCCTTCTACAGAAGACAACGAACTCAATCTCGTTTGTTTTTTACACATCACCACAAGCGACTTTACTGACTAACATAAAGAAAGAACGATGAGGTTATTCAGACACTGTTAGATGATTTAGACCGTTCCATTGAAGTTGAGAAAGGGAAGATTAATGTTCTTGATAACAACATTAACCAAGCACAACAATTTATGACCAACCTTACATCCACGTTTAACACCCTTTTTCCTAAGTAACAACTTGATTTCTCAAATATTATTTATACAATTTGGAACAAATGAGTGATATTTATAGTTTTGCAAAATTATAAAAATTACTACATAAAAAATAGTATTTCTTTAATTCCATATCCTATATTCCAAATATAAAGTTTTCTTATATTATTAATATAATTTTATATTACAAATTGAAGAGTTATAAACGAATTAACACGTTCAAAACAGAAACGTAATAATAATAAGTTTTTATTTTTTTCTTTTACCTAAACCCTTTTTTTGCCTTCATACACAAAACAAATTTTTGAAATTTTTTATTTATTTTTTATCAACTCAAATTTGAATTGTATATTTTTTAGTCACACTTAAAGTGAAAGAGTTTATTTGTGTTAAACAAGAGCAAAGCATTAGAAAGAAAGATGGGGTCTAATGATGGTTTAATATATTTGGTTGTTTTTTATATAAAAAGTATATTGTCATTTGATTATAATGATATTGGTGTTTATATTGTCGTTATATTTGTTAATGCGACTATTTGACGTTGTTTGTTATTAAGTGGATTGACGATGAAGCGTTTTTATATTAAATGTTGTAACACAATAAAGCGATATGAAATTTCATCCAAAAAGATTATTTTTGATCAATCTTAGGTAATTGAGTTGTCATTTGTTAATTATTTTAAGTAAAATAAAACTGACTATTGGCCGGTTTGGGTTAGAAAGGGGGTTTTGAATAAAAAAATAATAAAATGATTTGGACAATTTCTTTTTTACTTATTTTTCTTTTTTAAAAAAAAGTTTTGGGTTGTGAAAGTGTTAATATGAAGAAATGAATGTTTATGTTCCTCTCAAATAACTGGAAGCCGTTGTAACAAGCCTGAAATTGTCTTGTGAATAAACAATTCCATCCGATATGAAGTAATAAGGCATTAACGTGTCGAAGTTAGAAGCTCTGAATCTGGAAGTTTGTTTTCCAAATTTAAGTCCACCAACACAACTCGAGAACACGGTTACTGGGATAGAAACGTTCATCAAGTTAGAAAACATACAATTTTTGAGTTCGATGAGTAACAAAAATGATTTCTCTGTGTAATTTGGGTGTTGTATTTGAGAGAGGTCTGTGATGAATTTATCCCACAACTCGATTTGGTGTTCCAATTTCATTTCATTAGAAATATTGTATTTTGATGTGAAAGTTGTTTTAATATTGCGCTGTATATCATCAAAGTTGATTACCACATCAACCAACAAATCCAATTCGTTGGGACGACTTTGAAGAATTTGACACAGAGCCAAAATGAGCGCAAACGCACCCCCCGTTCGATCAGTTCCGCTTTTACAGTTTGTTGCAATTGCTATTTTAGAAAGGATCAAATAACAACTCAAAGCGCCGAGTTGTTCGACTTTTGTTTTGAAATTCACATTGTCGTTATTCACTTTAATTGCATTTAACAGAATAGCACGGTGTTTAAGAGTGTTGTCTTTAGCAGAGATTCGACGTGCAAATTGTAACAAAGTTTCATCCTTTTTAATATCAGTGTCTTCTCTGAACCATTTTTCTAAAGTTGCTATTCCATCTTTGTTCATGTTCTGTGATACCGCCTCACCAAAATAAATTCCCCAGAGCCCAATCACTCCAAAAGGAATATTAAAATGAAGAAATTCAAATTCAGTTTGCTCGGAGTTTAGTTGGTGAAGGAATTTATGTTGATACAACAGTGGTTTATCCTCTTGTTTGCTCCATGGCACTGTTCTTAAGAATGAAATAGAACACACTCGTATTTTGGAGGTACCAGTGTTATTTGGTATTGCGGCTTTAACCATTTCAAAGAACTGTTGGCCACTGACACTGGAATCGATCCATCCACTTCTGAAAATGGTATTAGTATTCACACGCGTTGAGTATGAGTTCTTCAAATGATTTGAAAACTCCGTTTGAATCTCTCGGTAAGACGTTCCGATGGTCCCTTTGTTTTTCACTGCTTTCCACTTCTTTGTTTGCTCGTCACGAATAAACTTCCAGTCGGTTAGAACAACTTTGGTGATAACTCCATTCGCCTCAAACGTTGTTCCGAGTGTTCTTGGTATTGTAGATATTTCTTGGCACTCTTTGTATTGACCTGTTACTAGTTGGATCATATAATATTTAATTGCTGCTGGTTGAAAAGTTTTGTTAAGGGTGTATTTTTCTTCAGCTAACTGATCCATTCCTGTCAACACGGGTGGAGTTACATTCCACCCATAAAGAGTTGGATTTTGTCGCATTGGGTGTGTTTTCCCAAATTTAATCGTCTCGTTGTATTTTTCAAACAAAAATTTGGCTTCATTGGGAATAGTCTTTGGAAAGCTGGAGATTTTTCTTGTCTTCAGAACGACGTACAGCAAAATGAAAAGAATTATCACAAAGATTGTACAAACCGTAAAATGTGACATATGTATTAAGATTATACTAATGGAAATTAGATTGTTTTAATTGAATTCGACTTATTAAATAATTATAATTCTTTTGTTATGTTTATTTTTATTTGGTGACACGTCGACAATTCAATCACCCCTCAATAAAGATCTGAAAATAACTCGGCAATATAAAAAATTCTAATGCTGAGGCATTAGTTTAGTTATTTTAATATAATAAAATAGTAGTTTAAAGTCATTAATGGTAATATAGAATTAAAAATGTTACCAAAAAAATAGAACTAGTAATCTCAAGGAAAATAATTAATAAATAAACTAAAATGAATAATAATATTATTTATATAATATATTATATTAAAAATAGAAAACTTTGATGTAAATAAGATTTTTCTTGAAAGTTTAGAAGTTCGGTTTTTGAAAAATTTTATGGAGTTTAAAAAAGTGAGTAATTTTTGGGAAATAATGAGTTATGATAGTTCTACAAAAATGGTATATTGTATGACCTCCCAAAAGTGCATACAATAAATTTTCATACGAATCTATTTTTGCCAGAATACAAAAATTGATTAGAAAAAGAATCGGAATTTCCCAATTTGTGTTTAGAAAATAGCGGTACAAAATCGTCATCCCTTCAACATAAGTGAAAAGGAAGCAAAACGAACTCTAACGATAAAAAAAAACAGAGAAATCCGAAGTAATGGCGACTTAAAAAGAGAAATAAAAAAGATCTAAAAACAAACTGTTCAATTCGTAAAATGTCGACTCACAGAAAGAGATTCATTAAGTCCGACTCGCACATATTCATCACACCATGTCCAGATAGTCTATACTCCCAATATAACCAACTGACTCGCTCAATGTCCCCCGGCGTCGATATGGTTTGTATTCTATTTAGTTTCCCTCAATTTGAATAGTTGAATTATAGTTATTTTATTATATTTGTATGGTTATTCTGCCTTTACCCAAGAGGAAAAGAATTCTTTGAAATAACCTCCACAACTGACAAAACCACCCAATAACACAAACCAGTACACTATAGTATTTTAACTATTAACACACCATTTACAAATGGATAGTAACACACAGGAAAGCCAGGTGAGAACAGCCACCGTCGGATATTTGAAGATCCTCCAGCAATGCAACCCGGACTACTTCACCGATGCGTTCTGTGACCTCTGGAAAGCAAAAACCATTACTTCCCCTTCCACTCCTTGTCACAACGAAAATCATGACAATTGTAAGTATGACTATATTTTAACTATGGACGAGGTGCTGGGAACGGGCGTGCCAAATGCTTTGACGTATGGAAAGAAGCAGGGGTCAAGATACAGAGTACTTGGCCAACTTGGACAAGGTGCTTTTGGGCAAGTTGTGAAGTGCTTTGACGAGGTTAACAAGACATTGGTTGCAATTAAAGTGTTGAAAAACAAACCGGCGTATTACAGGCAAGGAATGCTTGAAATTGCGATTCTGCAATTACTCAGTGAAAAGTTTGACGCTGATGGGAGTGGAAACACGCTCAGGATGGTCGACCACTTTGTGTTCTATAACCACATCTGCATTGTCACTGAACTGCTCTCCATCAATTTGTATGAACTTATGAAACAAAACAACTGCCGCGCTCTGTACGTAGGATTAGCGCGCTCGATACTTCAACAATTGTTGGAGGCACTTGTTGTGTGCTTTAAGAATGGCATCGTCCATTGCGACTTAAAACCCGAAAATGTGTTGTTAGTTGATATGACAAAGAAGATCAAACTTATCGACTTTGGTTCGGCGTGTTTTGAAAACAGCACGCTGTACAGTTATATTCAGTCGAGACATTATCGGTCACCAGAAGTTATATTGGGGTTACCATATTCAACAGCAATAGACATGTGGTCCTTCGGGTGTATGGCAGCGGAACTCTTTGTGGGTATACCAATATTTCCGGGGAACTGCGAATACAACATGTTGTATAAGTTCATTAATATGATTGGGATGCCACCACGATCTTTACTCGATAGAGGAACGAAGACCTCAAAATATTTCAGACGAAAGCGTCCTGCAGAAATGAAAAATAAAGACGACGTGTGGGCATTCAAGCTGAAGAGAGAGTTTGAGAGCGATTCAAATACGTACACAGAACCAAATCGCGAGTACTTTTCTTACAAAACACTTGAAGACATCGCTATGAAAGTCAATTTCAGAGTCTCTGCAGCAGACGAACCAAGAAAGCCAGAGATGAGAAACGCCTTTTTGGATTTCATTAAAAGAGCACTGCAATGGGATCCCGAAATGCGAATGAGACCAGACCAAGCACTTCAACACCCTTTTATTACTAAAAAGCCATTCACCGTTGACTACACACTCCCACCAACAAATGAACCTTTAAGAACATTCCCACCAGGAACACAACTGTCGCCAGAAGAAGTTTTGAAGAAGATTGCACCAAACCCAGCAGCCGCAGCGAAGTTGAAAAGTATGGGATATAATGCGACCACGTATTACCAAGTCTACTCTGATGGACTGAATAAGGGAGTTGTACTCAACATTCTGAATTCGAATCCATTCTACTTGCAACCAATGACACCACCTTCACTGATTAGGCTCAACCAATTTGAGGAAGAGATGTTACAAAAACAACGGATGAGAGCACAAAGCGAGAACAGAGGAATTATGTACCAAGGCCTTGCATCGGCAATTCACCAAAACGTTGTCAATTCACAAATCAAGTTTAAAACGTTCAATGAGATCAAAAAGGAGAAGGAGGAGAACATGGCGCGCAAACAACGTCGCCAAACGTCGGACATTTTCTCAACGAAAGCGATGGAACCACTGTCCCCGAAGTCTGAGGAGTATTTAGCACAGAAAATGAAGAATGGAGGCCAACCGATGGAAATGAGTGACATTGATGAGAAGAAAAAGCAGATGGAAGAAGACAGTGCTGGGTCATGGAGTACAAATACAGGGATGCTTCTACCTCCTGGGAATTGGGGAACGACATCCTCCGACAGTGACTTTTAATTTGTTTTTTTAGTTTATTATAGTTCATTAGAAAGCTTCAAAGTGAAACTTCTAATTTGTTAATATGAGAACTTTCAAAAAATCTTTATTATTAATCCCAGCATTCTGGCTCATTTGGTATTCATTTGATATTCATTTTATAATAGTTAATAGAAAGTTTGATAGAAAACTTTGGTTGAATGATGTGTGGTAATTTAAAAATAATAACAGAAAGAGTATAACGGAGAGATAATCCTCAAAGCAGTGTATTATAAACTTAAAAACACAGAGTCAATGGAATTTTTGAAAAGCACCGAAATCGATTTCAAAAATTTGAACGAACAATGGGACGTCGTAGCAGGCGTTTTTGAGGAGGACCAAACACTATTTTTTAAGGTTGTTTCACATGTGCTGGATGAAGAAGACAAAAATAACCACAACACAGTCATTGGGTTTGTGAATGAAAAAGGAGACGAAATGGAATTGGACAAAGTCAAAGAGTGTTTGGGTACACACATTATGAATAAAGTAAATAAAGACATATACAACGCATTTTTGGCGAAAGCGACATTACAAGGAACAACAATTGTCTCGGTATTGCCTTCTATCATTGAAAGTAGTGATTTGTTCGACTTGATTAAAGTTGAGATGTTCAATCAAAGCTCAGTGAACGAGTTGTTTAAAACAATGAAAGAGAAAAACGATGAAGATACTACAAAAGTGGTCTTGAAATTGCTCACACTATTCCCATTCGAAAATTTGGACGTCAGCGAGCGCACGTTTCTGTCTGAACTTGCCATCCAAAACGAAACAAAAAGTGAAAAATTGATCCGCCTGTGTTGCGCAGTCCTCCGGCGCGCAAAGGCGAACATCCCAGACATTTTGTATTTGATTGAAAAGGGCGAGGACCATGTTACGAACGCAGCAGCAGATGAATTGTTCTCGGAATGTCTTGAGCCTTCTAATTTGACGGTGATCAGACAATTGATTCTCAATAAAATGCCCCCGTCATGCCCACGAGTTAAAGATGTCATAGTTACTGTTCTTCAAGCAAACACCCCATCTCTCAGTTCGATTGAGAGAGTCAAAATTGCTTTAGAATTATCCAGATATCGCCATTTGCGTGGATTGCGAGAGTACATCATTGGTGTTATTCAAGACGCAGATATTAAAGTGAACGAAGTCATCACCACCTGTTTTGAGGTACTAACGAAAAAGGGTTTGAATTTCCAAGAGGATTTAGTCGACAGTTTAAGATATGTCTTTGAACGGATTATCCCGGTTAACCAACAATTACAGCCACGAATAATCACTGTATTGTATAACGGAGAGTATATCAAAGTGTTTAAAAGAGAGACTGCAAACGATTTAGTCGATCGATTAAAGACTAAAGGTGTTGTTGTGGCCTTTGGTGAAATTATTAAGAAGGATGTGGCTCTAGAAGATGTTGGCTTGAAGGATGGCGATGAAATACAAATAGACAAGACAGTGGTGTATTCTAATGTTAAAGTAAAAGAAGCTTTAGTCGTCGACCAAGTGATCTCTAACACCGTCTCACAACTGATTAGTGGAAATGTCGATGGCAAATTAAAACTATTAGAAGTGCTTCCTTATGTAAAACAAGCATTCCAACCGCAGTACGTACCTTACAAATTTTATATGTACTTGAAAGAGAATGTCAGTCTTGACGAATTGTCTGAGGAGTTGTTGTGTTTTGACGCCACTGAGAAAGGTTCTGAAGAAAGTTTGGAGGCACTTTGTGACTTACTTGGAGTGCTTGGAGAAGAGATGCAAAAACTCATGGTGATGCAGTTGTGTTCGGAACCAATAGGAGAAGGCGCACTACCACTTGTACATCAACTGATCATATCTCCAAGCTTACATAAAGTCGTGCCAGAATACTTCTGGAAGTGTGTGTTGCGCATTTCACCACTACTGAGAAATCAAGACAAACACGAGTTCTATTTTCACTCGATTTTCCTCTTCCACCACATCCCCGAGTTTGTCAACACAATTATCGAGTCACAAGACATCGTTTTGATTTCACTTCTTTTACAACAAACACACACACAAGAGGTGCTGGAGAAATGCAAAATGGTTGTTGGCATGATCGATGCAAACGACGACGAAATTGAAAATTTGAAGGTGAATGGGTGTATCGACTATTTGTACGACACTTATAAGTACTTCCCTAAGTCTCCCGAGAGCATCATAAAATTACTCGAAGAAACTAAATCCGAGAGAACACGATGGGTGTTGTTGTGTTCAATGAAAAACAAGAGCAGTGAAATCATAAACAAATTCAATGAAGAACTTCCAATGGATGGAATGAACACTTTCGAGTTTAATGGGTTTAAAAATCCGTCAGTACTATGTTATATGAACAGTGTTTTAGTCCAGTTGTTGTCTATTGATGAATTCCAAAGCGTTTTGATGAAGACTGCGTCGACAAATCGTATTGTCAATTTACTCAAGTCTGCGTTGAACTATTTTATGAAGAATTTGGACGAATTTGATATTAGACTGTTGATGAACGAAATGCAGAAAATGTTCCCATCGACGAATCTGAATGAATTCAATGACGTCTCGGAATTCTTGATGCTTCTTTGGGACGCCCTTGAGAAGCAACTTGACTCAAATGATTACAAACAATTGTCGCACTACTTCTCTATTGTAACTGAAGAGAAGTTTGGCCTTGACAAATCAATTAAGAGGGAAGTTCAGATGTCATTGTTAGTACCTTATGGTATGCGTTCAATTGAACAGTATATAGCTGAAACCGACAATTTAAAACACATTGTGGAATGCCCCGATTATTTACAAATACAGCTGCAACGTTCTTTATATGACAGTGAAAGTAAAAGCGGTTGGAACAGCACCGATATGGTCAGTTTTGGATACGAACTTGAGCTCCCAAAAGAAAACGACAGTGTGAAGTACAGTTTGAAAGGCGTCATTGTCCACATGGGAACAGTTTCTGTCGGCCACTACATCTCATACATAGTTGATCCGTCCAACAACGAAGATTGGTTCTGTTTCAACGACGACAAAGTATCACACATCTCTTGGTACAACTTCGACATCCAGACAAAATGCTTCGGACAACAAGCAAACAGTGAATTTGTGCCAACTGCATACATCTTGATCTACCAGAAAATGCATAAAGTGAACAGGTGTGTTAATCAAACAATCAGTTTCATTGCTGAGACACAACAGAGACAATTGCCTTTGCCAACACAAATGGTAGAAAAATTGTTTGCCTTTTCAGTGACACAAGAACCAACAAAGGACACCTTGCGGGCACTTTCTCTGATCAAGGACTGTTACATCGACGTTAGTAATAAGCCTTTGGTCGTGAAGCTTCTGCGCTATTTGGTTTCAAACAATGAAGTTGTTCGAGTCTGTGTTTACCAACTCTTTGCAAACTACCACAAATTGCCTGTTCTGGACTTCAATTACGTAACAATAGTGTCAAACCTTTTGTCAACCAATTACACATATTTGTTACCAACAACTACAAGCAATATCACACAATGGCTCTTGTTCTTAGAGTCGTTCTGTAGTCGAGAGGATATCGGGTCGATTGGTAAAACTGTCTTAATATATGCAACAAAGTCACTTTCTGTGTTGAACAATGACGTTCCAAATGCGCAACAAGTCAAGACGCTGTTATATCAGCTGATTGGGATGTCACACCCAACTATAGTTGAAATACAACAGGAACCACAATTACTGCGATGCGTGTTGTTATCCAAAAATGGGAGTGAAGAGATCAAACATATGTTCAACGACCAACTCTTTGAGTTGTCATTGTTGATTAAAGAATGTTTTGATTGTGAAGATGTGTTGCTTTACACTGATTTAATACAAATGATTTTAGACTCAGAGAATGTGAATGCCATTTATTCTCTCTTGTCCATTTATACAGAATCGAACCGCTCCTCGAAACACAAATCTCTAAAACAAGAATTCACCAATGGCCTCTTTACACTCGTTAAACCGACTCCACGAGGGTTGATGCTCCTCGAGAAGATTTTGAAAAACAAGGACAAACCAATAGTGAGGCAGTGTTTGAATTGTATGTACGGCGCATACGACTTAATGCGAGACATTTGCACGCAGTATGTGCACTCGATAAAACCACAAATCACGACTTTCGAACAAGCAAAAGCCGAGATTATCAACATTGGGTTTGCGATCATCTGTGAAGAGTGTGACTCCCATCCTTAAGTACCCACTGTTCAATTTATTCTTTGTCTTCTTTGAGTCTTCACACTATACTATACATAATAGTAATATATTAGAAGATTATAATACAGTTATTACATCAATGAAAAGTATTAATTCCATATTAAATTAATAATTAAATAAAGGTATGAGACTAAAAAAAGAAGACAATACGAAATTCAGCATTAGTTATCAGCAGCACCTTCCTTATTACCACCACGAATAAGACCAGTTCTTCTGGCAGCAACTTTACCACACTTCTGGCCTGGTGGAGATGATCTCTTGATGGTTGTTGGGTGTCCGACGTGTTGATGGTTTCCTCCTCCGTGTGGATGTTCGACTGGATTCATTGCTACACCTCTAACTCTTGGCCAGCAAGTTCTCTTTGCCTTGTACATGTGATAAGCGACACCAGCCTTCAAAATTGGCTTCTCAGTTCTTCCACCACCGGCGATGAGACCGATCATAGCTCTGCAAGCACTCTTCAAAGTCTTTTTAGCACCTGATGGGAGTCTAACTCTGGTGGTTTGAGTCTCAGCACTGTGTGAGATGACAGTGGCGTAGTTTCCAGAGGCTCTGGCCAAGTGTCCTCTGTCTCCTGGCTTCAATTCGACGTTGCAGACGACGGTACCTTCTGGGCATTGACCAATTGGCAAGACGTTTCCGACGTGAAGGGAAGCTTTAGCACCACAGTAAATGTACTGACCACTGTAGATACCTTCGGCACAAATGAAAAGTTCTTTGTCAACACCATATTGGCGTGGGTTTCTGAAAACGACTCTAGCAAGTGGGGCACCTCTTCCTGGGTCGTGTTTGACCTCTTGGACTAATCCACGAACGGTGCTGTGGCGCTCGAAGAAATCAATGGCACGGTGTTGTGCTACTCCAAGCTTATGATGGCTTCGTGACTTGAAGATTGATCCTCTTCCCTTTCTCTGTGACAGTGTTCTTCGTCCCATTCAGGTATCAAGTGCTGACCTAAACCTACTTTTATTCAAAGTTCCACCTCCTAATCTTCCCGATTTTGTGCGCCACATTTATATCCAATTCTTACATTTTCTTATTGTTTTATTATTTCAATTATAGTTGTTTTAATAATTGATATTAATTATATCAGTTTTTAATTTATTTCTAATTTACATTTAATTACATAATAGTTGTTTCCCTTTTTTATAGTCATAATGAATATTTATATTTCGAAACTATAAATATAGTTTCAGTAATCAACCAATAATTACTCATTTAGTAAAAAAATGTGAAAAAAAAACACAACGGTTTTTAATAACATTTTAACAAGTTAAATGTTATTGAATTATTGTTTTTTAAATAAAAAATTGAGAAGACAGAACTAAAAAAAGAGATGGAAAAAAAGATTAACGATGAGGAGTTTGGCATTTTGTCGCAAGGAAACAGTTACTTATCGATTCAAGCCACTGTCTCTGCAATTAGCAACTTGATATATTCGCAGTCCAAAATCGAATCTCCGACTGGGCCCTCCCGAAAAGAGATGTTATCCTCTTATTACAACTCGGTAATCACTTCGTTATACGTTCCATTGTTTGCGACAGCAACAGACACCGATGCGAATGGGAAAGTAACTCAAGAAGAACTCGATAGAACATTGTCTATATTGAACACATCACACATCGACTTAAACTCGGACACCGTGTTAGCAAATACTATTTTATTTGAAATACTCGACACCGACAATGATGGTAAAGTCCCAACAAACGACATTATTCATTTTGTCGTCAAGATTTCTGGTAAAACTCCAAGCTCACAAGCAACTGAGGGTGTTCGCAATTTGGTCGACCCTTTGAACACATCGTTTGTCACTCTTGACAATTTTGTAAAGGCGATGAATCAATGAAATAAATAAGTATTTGTTAGTATTTCTATTGAAACAACAACTAAATAATAATCGATTACCACAATCTTGGCTTGTTTAACATCAGAATCATGAGGAAGGTCGGGACGTATTTCAAAAAGATAACGACACCAAAGTCCAACCCATCAATGAAGAATGTCGTATTTGTATTGAAAAGACCAAGGTTTTGTCCAGTGAAGTCTTTAGAATAGTATATGATGTGATACAAACACAATGTGAGACGAACAAAGGTCAACACTATAATAGTGATTCCACATGAATACGTACGGATTCGAATTTCGTGAGACTCCTTGGCTTCGTATACGGCAAAGACCTTTCTCATGAAGAGAAGAATTAATATGAAAGAGGCAACGACAAAGGAGAAGACCAACATCAAGCTACAATTGGAAGATATCGTCTGCATCTGGAAGACAACAACAAAGAAATCGCCAAAGACTGAGAAGGGGATTGTCATTATAAACAACGTCGACAAGAAGAAGAATAAGGTGTGAATGGATAAAAGAGCGATGCCTGTTACCCAACATGAGTCAAATGCTTTAACAACCCACCCACACTCAGCTACTGTGATTAATGTGTCAAATTGTGTTCTTCTAGTTCGTTAGTGCGTTAGAATACGTCAAAGAACAAACAAAGCATAAATAGTCAAGAGCATCATGAAAGAGAAAATTGAAGTGTCGAATAAGTTGATGAATTCGTACCAAGCAACGTACGTGAAGTCATTTAATTTGGGGTCTTCTTGGTTCAGAATTGAAAAATAATAAAACACCCACGCCATAAAGACTATTTGACACAAGATGTACAACAACACACAAACGTGACAGATGTTTCTTGGGGACAGGATTTGGGTTTTTGCTATTGCGTTCGACCTCTTTTGCCATATCTTCACAAAGAGTATTAAATTGGTATGAATGAAGTATATTATTAAAAGTACTAACAACACAGAAGAAATGATTCCGAGTGCTAACGCCTCGTTTCTCACATGATCGATTCCCATCGATTAATAATTCCAGTTTTAATCAATAAATTTCTTGAGAAAAAGAACACACTTCACACATTGAAAACAATTTTACAATTACATTATTATTATTTTAATTAAGTATTAAAAATAATCATTTATTTTTCTATTAATAATAATTGATAATTATTAATTTACTAATGTAAACAATCAAAATGGTTTATGATATAACAGCGTTCATTGGGGGTGTATTGTCAAGATAAAATGCTCTTTGAGTACTTTCTGCTCAATTGCCTCTTCGGAACATATAAATTCAATTTCTGATATTGTCGTGAACTCATCATTAATCATCGCCTGTCTGATATTAGTGAAAGACTCCGTCACCATATTTTTTGCAACATCCTCTGAAAGTGCTCCGTCCATAAGAAAGTGGAGTGAATCGACTTTTTGTGAATGACAAAAGAATATCAAATTGCCAAAGAACGTTTTCTCGTTCTCTTTATCTGCAAAGTCAAACACTCCATTTTCAAAATACGTGTGGATGACTATGTGGTAATATTTATTTGTATGTCGTGTCACATAAAAGTCTCCTTCCTTCATTTCGTTCAAATGAAAATTTTTTGTCTGTTCATTATACCCTCCAAAATGTGTATCGAACGTCGCCGTTTTCTTTAAATTAGTTATCACAACACTTTCAACAGTCTTTTGTAGTGGAACAACAATTGCAGACAGTTTCCCAGAAAACAAGTTTTGGAGTGTGATGTGTCTTTCCATCGACGACGCTGGGAATTTGCCGTCTTGGAAAACGACTGGGTTCGACCCAAACTTTACACTAATTGAGTACTTAATCCCTTTCAATTCAATTGGAAAGTCCACACTTTCCTCCTCAGGTAATTGAAGAGAGTCCAGCATCCCGTCCTTATCTGTCTCGCTATTGTTTTCAATATACTTTTTGATACATCCCCAAAACAACTCGTGATACTCTTTTTGTGTTCTTGCAACTCTTTGTAGAGCGTCTTCTATTTGAAAAACGGCACAACGGTGTTGTACACTCGAGCTAATGATTTGCAGGTATTTACTAAACAACCCTTTTGTCATTGCATCCACATCTCCTTCACAAGTGTTGTCACAGTCCCATTCATTATAAACGTTCTCCCAAAAATTTGTGTTGCCGACTTCTTGAACAGATTCTTCCATTACTTCTTTAAAAGATCAAGAAAAGTCATCTTTTTAAATTACATGGTATTAAGTATAGTAATAATAACAAACTCTATTTTTTATAGTTTTTAATACTATTATATATAACAAAAACAACAAGATGATAAAAAGGAAACACTTATTTCTTCGCAACCTTCTTGGCCTGTTTAACTTGCATTTTAGCTTGTTTGACTTGTTTCTTTTCAGTCTTTACAGTACGTTTCAATTCTTTAACTTCTTTCTTAGCAGAACGGACGACACCCTGCTGTTTCTGAATTTTTTTCATAAGTTGAGCCTTCTTGTTTCCATGAGCGTGGGAAGCCTTTCTTTGCAAAGCGGCCAATTTATTCTTTTCAGTTCTCATTGCGTTTTTCATTTCTTTTAACTCTTTCTTGTTTTGCTTCAAGTTTTGTTTTTGAGCCTTAAGACCACGTTTTGCGAGTTTGACCTGTTGTTTTGATGATGAACTGCGCTTTGTAACCTTGGCTTTTGGTGCAACATTCTTTTTAAGATCTTTCTTCATCTTTTTATATTGAGCCTTAGCTGCCTTCTTTACAAGAGCCTTTGTCTGTTTCTTATTAAGTCCTTGTTTCTTGGCTTGTTTAAGAGCTTTCTTTTCAGCTCTCTTGATGTTGGCAAGGGCCTTCTTAGCATTCTTCTTTCCAAACTTGGCTGTCAACTTTTTGTTGAATTTCTTGTTCATCTTCTTGTTCATTTTCTTCGCACTCTTCTTAATCTTTTTCTGAGTATTCTTCTTAGTTACTTTCTTGGTTGAAGTCTTCACAACTTTAACAGTCTTTTTGATGTTCTTTTTCAATTTCTTCTCTGCCTTCTTTGCTTGTTTCTTGGCCTCCTTCTTTGCTTTTGTGAGTGCCTTTTGTGTTGCCTTCTTAGCCTTTTCTGCGTTCTTCTTTTCTTTCTTCTCGAGTTTCTTCTTGTCCTTCTTTTCTTGTTTTTGGACCTTCTTGACCTTCTTGTTCAACTTCTTCTGTGCCTTTTTGATCTTCTTTTCCTCCTTTTTCTCAACTTTCTTGGTCTGCTTCTTTGTGTATTTCTTAGCTGCCTTGATTGATTTCTTCTCGGCCTTCTTTTCCGCCTTTCCTGCTGCCTTCTTTGCTTGTTTTTTGGCTTCTTTCTTTGCCTTTGTTGCGTTCTTAGCAATCTTCTTCTTCAAGTCTTTCTTCAGTTGTTTTTCCTTCTTCTCCAATTTCTTTTCTGCCTTCTTTGTCGATTTGACTGTTGATTTCAACTTCTTAAGATCCTTTGCTGATTTCTTACCCTTCTTGACGTCTTTCTTCATCTTCTTCAATTGGCTCTTTTGTTTCTTCTCTGCTTCTTTGACCTTCTTAGTCGCCTTCTCTGTCTTCTTGAGTTGTTTCTTAAGTCCCTTCTTAGTTGAAGAAACCTTCTTCTCTGCTTTCTTCACTTGCTTCTTGGCATCCTTCGCTGCACTTTTAGCTGCCTTCTTTGCTGATTTGGCAACCTTTTCTGCCTTCTTTTCTTGTTTCTTCATATCCTTCTTGGCATCTTTAGCTGCCTTCTTCGCGGACTTCTCTGCCTTCTTTCCTGATTTCTTAGCAGATTTCTTGGCTTCAGCAGATTTCTTCTCTGCAGATTTGACCTTTGCCTTCAAGTCTTTGGCAGTCTTCTTTTCTGATGCCTTCAATTTCTTCTCAGCCTTCTTGACATCCTTCGCCATCTTCTTCTCAGCCTTTCCAGCTTGTTTCTTGGCAACAGTCTTGGCCTTGGATGCAGCCTTCTTGATGCTCTTCTTGTTCTCAGCCTTCATGTCCTTCTTGACTTGTTTCATCTTCTTCTCTACCTTCTTGTTGTCCTTCTTGATCTTGTCCTTTTGCTTCTTGACCTCAGCCTTTGCGTCTTTGGCAGCTTGTTTAGATTCTTTAGCTAAAGTCTTAGCTTCCTTCTTAGCAGCCTTTACGACTTTAGCTGCTTCCTTCTTAGCCTTGGCGGCGGCTTTTTGGGCCTTTTTCTCGGCTTTCTTAACAGCCTTCTTAGTTTGGGCCTTTGCCTTCAAAATAAGTTTCTTGACCTCCTCAATTGCTTTCTTTTCTGCGGCTTTTGCTTCAGCAGCCTCCTTCTTAAGATTCTTTTCTTCCTTCTTTACAGCTTTAATCGCGGCTTTAGCAGCCTTTTTAGCCTCTTTTGCTGATTTTTTCGCCTTTTTATCGGTGGTTGAAGTAGCAGTGGACGTCGAAGCAACGGCTTGTTGAACGTTTTTAACAGCGTCAAGGGCCTGATCGGCATTTGTGAATCTTCTATCGAGTTTCAAATTAGCAACGATGTTATTTCTGACATCGACAGGAACGCTCTCCAAATAGACCTTCATAGTTGATAAAATTTTAGCCTTTCTCCTCACAAGGGTATTGAGTTGTGACTCGACCTTCACAATTTTTGCTTTGATCTTTGGAATATCAGCCCCAACAGCAACAGTAGCGTCAAGATTCAAATGGTCAATGACGTCATGCCAATGTCTTTCGATATCTTCGAGTCTCTTCATTTCAGTCTCCAAAAGAGAAAGATTGTTCTCTGTCTCGTAATATTTCAGAACGTAAAAGTGAGTGGATTGAGCTGCAAGTGCACTCGTAAAAAGTAACAGCGCCAACACTATTCTCATGTAAAATATGATTTTTAAGTTTCTTTTTTTCGAGTTTCACTTCCCTCCTTGATTTCAATTTTTTATTTTTTTATTTTTTTCAAGTTCTCTGTTCAACTGCTTTTTTCGCTCAAAACTACCATTTTATTTTTTTATTTTGTTTTTTCAATTTGGGTGATATGACGTGGATTTCTTAGTGATTATTTGTGTGTTGTATTTCGATCTGAAATTTTTTGGTTTCTATTTAATTCGTTTTACACGCTGAGTACAAATCAGTTCATTAATGTCAGAGATTATTTGTCACAAATTTCGGGTTTTTTGATAAATCATCATTATGAATTTTGTATCATAAAAAAGAAATGTTATTTTTCTCAATACATATTTTTTTTATCTCTACAAAAAATTTTAAATTATTTTAATTAAAAACTATTATAATATATAATTCGTTTGTCGTTTAACTTAGTTGTAAACAAAAGAATTACTTAATATAAACTATTAAATAATTGTTTTACTTTATGAACTAACATGCCGAATAACAAAAGAGATAAAAATGATATTTCATTGGGTAATAATTTTAAATTGGGTTTTCGTTTTTAGTTTTCATAATCTTTTATGAGTAATAATTGTTTTGACTTATAGTTTATATAGTAAATTTGGTATAATAAATTTATATTAGTTATTATTAGTTATTAATATTATTTTAATTGTTTTTTTTAATAAAAATAATAATTAATTATGATAATGTTATAATACACACCAAATAATTAAATAATTGATGAATATTATTATATAATTGTTAATAAATTAATAATAATAATATATTAGATAATATATTAGATAGAATTACTTTTCGAACCTAAACTTAGAATTAAATCTTTAATTAATTTTATAATTTATTTATATTAAAAAAAACTTTAAAAAGCACACCATGTCGACGGACGAAGATTTAAATACGTATTTCAAAACTGCGCTTCCATTGGTAAAAACTTGCGGAAGGATGATCAAAGATGCTTACTGTAAGATGCAGGTCACTATCTCTGGGAGTGATGATCACCTTTTCACGACCTGCAACCCAACTGTTCCAAGAGATGAGAAGTATGAAGAGGTAAAGACTTTCACAAACAAGTCCTGTGCAATCGATTGGGTGACAGAGACTGACAAGGGAGTGGAAAAGTATTTAATCGGCTCTCTTCATGAAGCATTCCCAACACATCTTTTTGTAGGTGAAGAGACTGCCTCCACACACAAGACGCTCACTGATGAACCAACTTGGATTATCGATCCTGTTGACGGAACAACCAACTTTGTCCATGGGATTCCAATGTGTTGCACCTCTGTTGCACTTGCAATCAACAAGCATGTTGTATTAGCAATAGTGTACAACCCAATTCAAGAAGAGTTATTCACTGCACTGAGGGGTCGTGGTGCTTTTATGAACGGGAAGCGCATTCACGTCTCTCACACCTCTGAAATTGGACAAGCCATTATAGGTACCAACCCAGGCTATCACCGAGAAAAGGAGCATGTCGACAAGATGTTGTACAACATGAACCAATTATTGGAAAGAGGTGTTGCTGGTATTAAAATGATTGGAAACGCAGCGATGGACATTTCATATGTCGCCTGTGGGAGAACCGACTGTTTCTATGAAAAGTTCTTATGTGTATGGGATTATGCTGCTGCTTCTTTGATTGTAGAAGAAGCCGGCGGAGTGTGTAAAACGCGTGATGGTATAAACCCACTCCTTCTTGAGAAAGAGATGGTTGTCTTTGGGAATCCCCTCATTGCTCCTCAGGTGTTTTCTTTGATAAAACAATGATTTCCTTATTTTAATAATTTTTAAAGCTATAATTAATATTAATTAATTATAGCTTTAAAAACTAATAACTAAGATTTGTTCACCAACTCAATGAATAAGAAGAGTAACAAGTCGTTCTTCTTTAACACTTAACAAAGCTAATAAACAGACAATCAATTGTTATAATGTAATGCACATCTTCTCGAAGAGTAATGTCTCTCCAAAGTTCAAAACGAACTCGTGAACGACGTAATTCTGTGTCGAAGTTTTAAACGTGTGGAACATGGTTTTCCCGTCTCCAATTCTACAATACGCAGCAGTGTTGTCACCTTCTCCCATATAGTTTGGTGCACTAAAAACAGTGCAAATGAGAGGGGTGTCCTCAATCATGTAGTTCATCTCGTGATACCCTTCATCAACATAGGAATGCCCTCGAAATATGGTGGTGATGTTGTTTCTCAGAGCAAATTGCTTCAATGCCTTGTACCCGATTTTCTTGCCAAATCCTCTATCCCAGTTCTTTACAAACGTTGCCTCAAACCATGAAGTGACACTTTTCAAAGACTGTGAGTTGAAGAACATTTTCAACGGCTGAAGCTCAGAAGAAAGTTCGCTGACTTTTGGCAAGTGCTTAGTTACAGTGTCATCGCCTTTCGAGACTGAGAATATGTCATCGTCATCGAGCGGATCAGACCACAACAAATCTTCCAAAGCAGAGTCTCTTTCTGGTTCGCAAAATCGATTAATGGAGTTAATAGACTCAACGGTGGGTAATTTATCAGATATTCCACCGTGGACACAAAGATACTTCTTGTGTTGTGAAGTAATTAAACAACAAAGTGGGAGTGTTCGAAATACATGGATAAATTCCTCAAACACTTTTTCATTGTATCGTGTGACGCACTCGGACTTAAATTGGTTCTGTGAGCTGACGAGTTTGGTTTCGTGGTTTCCTCTCAGCAAGACGAACCTTTTTGTGAATTAAAATACGTTGAAAAATAACAAACTGGTTTGGGAAAGTCAGTTTGAGGCAGCACAACAAAAAGAAGACTTCGAAACTCGATTCACCCCGATCGACATAGTCTCCCATGAACACAAAACAGTCTGACGACACAGTCGAGAGGACATTCAAAAGGTCGAAAAACTGTCCGTGAATATCACCAAGAACAACACAATTCTTCGTCACCTCAACAACATTTGGTTCTTGTTTCATCACGAGAGAGACTTTTCGAAGAACGTAGGTGATGGCTTCAGTTGTGAAACCTCCACCGAAGGAGAGGTGTTGAATGACTTGTTGAATGTCGAGAACATCGTTGTTGAGAATTTCCTTGAGACCTAGGACACTCTCCTCGTTGAAGGGGAGACTTGGGATTGTGAACTCCAGCTCGTTCAAGCGAGTCTTGGTTGACATTGAAGAGTTCAACTTTTCGAGGGTTATATATCCACTTGGAGTCAAAGTCAATATGACATTTTTTACTATTAACATACCTTTTACCCTTTTTCTGGGAATTTATGATGTTTGATTTCGCGAATGGATTCATTCTTTTCGTTTTCATCGAAACCCCCGATCTATTACGTTTAATTTGCGGTTAAAAAGCGTGATTTTCTTTCCACTTTTGATGAAACTCGAAATGACAAAAAAAATGCAGAAAAATTTCATTGTTTTTTCAACACTAAATTTGGAGACGAAGAAATTGGCTTTGTGTTTAAAAAATTTATATGAATTATTTGGAAAATAACGGGGTATTTGTTCACAGATTTTTGAGTCAACACTTTTTAAAAAATAAAAAAAGAACTTCTTTTAAAATAAAACTCTTATTTCTTTTATCTTCAGATTGTCTTTCGGAATTCTTTCATGGTCATTGTATTTGTTGAAAACCAATAAAAAACTATACTTTTATTAATCATCGATCGAAACAGATCGTTTTTTTCTTGTAAAAAAAAGTTAACAAAAATGAAACTATATAATATTTATTTTATACTATATATATTGTTGAATGGATTGATGTGGTTTGGAGATTGTTAAAAATATCAATTATTCTTCAAAACTATTTTCAAAATCGATGTGTTATTAGATGAAGTTTTTATTTTGAAAATTTGAATAATACCATCGTAATAAAACGGGTGTTTAAACACGTTTGTTTTTTAAAAAGCTAAAAAAACAAATTTGAGCCATACTGATGATTAATATTATGTATCAAACAAAAAAATTTTAATAAAACTAAAATTAATGAAATTATAGTTTATTTATTGTTTTTTTAGTTAATTCAATCTTTAGTTTTAAAAAACATAACAATTGTGAGATTAAAAAAAGAAAACTGTCATGAATTTTGACGTATCCTTTTTAAGATCAAAATGAACTTAAAAATCAACTTTAAAAAAATGAGAGTTTTTTAGTAAATATCGTTCAATATTTTCATGACAGCAACATCATCGATATCATCATGAGCTCCACATGCATTTTCCTTGAACTTCTGAGCAATTTCCTCGAAGTGTTCTTTACCGAATCCCCATTCAGAAAGTCTTGTCTTGTTTCCAATGCTCTTAAAGAACTTTTCAGTAGCTTCAATAGCGTCCTCTGGCTTTGCGTTCTTGATTCCATAAACGTTTTCGGCCATTTGGATCAATTTCTGTGCGTTCTTCTCCTTGTTAAATCTCATAACACCTTCAGTAGTCATGGCAAGTGACTCGCCATGTGCAACGCCGTAGTAAGCAGTCAATTCGTGGCCGATCATATGAGCAGCCCAGCATTCTTTGATACCAACCGCCAATGTATAGTTCAAAGCAACAGTAGCTGCGTAGCAGAAGTCTGCTCTAGCCTTGTAGTTGTGGACATCATCCATTGTAGTTTTCGCGACGTTCATGATCACTTTGAATACGCCCTCAGACTCTGCGTCAGTCACTGCGTTCATCTGATAATGTCCAATGTACTGTTCATAGACGTGTACAAATGAATCGGTGATACCATTTCTGACTTGGTTCAATGGGAGGGACATAGTGTGACACGGGTCTACAATGGAGAAAGTTGGGTACAACGAGAAGTCATGATTGGCCAACTTCATGTTGTCCGCCTTTCTTGACAACACAAACCCATTGTTCATTTCTGACCCAGTAGCTGGAAGAGTCAAAACAACACCAATTTTGGCTTTGGCGGGGTTCACCTTAAACTGGCTAGCCTTCAACAAAATGTCGTACGTGTCATCGCTAAAAGTGTGTTCCATCGCAAGAGCAATGTACTTTGTCCCATCAACTACAGACCCTCCACCAACAGCCAACAAAAAGTTAATGTTGTTCTCCTTAGCAAGAGCAACAGCTTTGGTGCAAGTTTCATGTGTTGGGTTCGGTTCAATTCCACCAAACTCACAGATTGGTTTCACATATTTCAGTACTTCCTCGTAAACCCCATTCTTCTTAATAGATCCACCACCGTAAGTCATCATAACTCTCGCACCCTCTGGGATCAAGTGTTGCTTCTCGATTTCAGCTGTTGCTCCTTTGCCGTAAATGAGTCTAACTGGGTTGCAGTAAGTGAAGTTGTTCATGTGTTGAATTTTTTTAGTGCGCGAACCTTTTATAGATAGAGGTTTTTTATTCCTCAAAACATGAACACTCTGTCCCGAATTTCATGCTCTTAAAGTAAACAATTATTATTTTGGTATAGTTTTTATATAGTTGAAAGATATCACTACAATTCTTTTTCAAAAATTAAGTTGATTCTGTATTTTAAGAACACCAAACAATTCTATAATATATTAATATTATTTCAAAAATTAACGGTTGATAATTCTGAAACAATTGATTATTTTTAACCAAAATTAATACAGTTTAATTATTTATTATCTTTTTGTTAATTATATGCTTTATTATTAATAACTTATTATTTACTACAAATTCATTTTATTGGATTATTAGTTATTTAATAATTCTTTCAATAGAAAACATCTTAATTTTTAACACTCATATTAATTTTTTAATTAAAATACTATTAACAATATATACTATACCATTTAATAAACAATATTATTTTTATGGTTTTCATTCAAGATTCAAACTTTTGCTTTCTTCCTCTTTATTAGAACGAACT